AGAGCTTCAAGCTGTCACCCTGGGTAGAGTGCTGTGGCATCACAGCTCACAGCAACCTCCAACTCCTGGGCTCAAGCGATTCTCCTGCCTCCGCTTCCCAAGTAGCTGGGACTACAGGCACCCACCACAACACCCGGCTTTTTTTTGGTTGCAGCTGTCATTCTTGTTTGGAAGGCCCAGGCTGGATGGATTCAAACCCGGCAGCTCAGGTGTATGTGGCTGGCGCCTTAGCTGCTTGAGCCATAGGTGCCAAGCCTAATTCATGAAAATTTTCATAAATGATGAAAGCAAAACTCTAAAATGTTAGGGGGCACTTTGAAAAACATGCCAAAGTTTTCCAGGTGCCATTTATGCCAAATATATTTCTATTTGCAGATGAATGCTATTTTGGGGGGCCGGGAATAATACCTCAATGAAAGTTACCATGTAACTGAGGGTTGTGTTATCAAAGACTTAGACTACGAATGTTAATAAGGGCTCAAAGAAAGGAGGTTGGCGGATAATGAAAAGATACACTTATGTACAATGCCATGATTTTTTTTCTTAATGGCTCTCCAATGCCATTTTTCCTCACCACCCTTCTGAGGATATACACGGCTGTACCAGTATATTCTGAAACTTAAAGCTCAGTGATTTGTGCACCATTCTTCCACCCATGAATTAACAGCCCAAATCCAGGCCTTGAGGACAATGCTTTCTTTACCTGAGGATGGAATGCTAGTTATTTAAATCACGTATTCAGCACATGGTAGAGACAGGTGCAGAGAACTATAACAGATGACAAAGCATGTCCATCGTCACTTTACTGCCAACAGAATGACAAATTTGACTTTCTGGACAAAAGAACAATGAGCTGACATCTCCTGTACCCTCAAATGTAAGTAGGCAGCACTGGCGAGATCTGCTTTTGACAGATGGAAACCGCAGAGCAGGGAGGCTGGCACCTGCCCGGGCCCCGCACCTGTCTGGGGTGTCCGCCTGCGCTCCGCCCTTGCCTGACTCCAGCACCTCTGCGGGTCTGCGCCTGTCTAGGGTATCTGTCTGCGCCTCGCCCCAGCCGTAATACATTACCTCTCCGGGCCCTGCACCTACTAGAACCCACACCTGGGTCCGGCCCACTGCCCCGCTATTTCGGGGTCCGCTGCCCCATCGCGCTCTGGCCCCTGCGTCTGCCCTGTCCGCCAGGGACGCCGGACCACAGAGGTCCTGCACGGCCCAGGCCTCGCGCCGCCGCCGCTCACCAGGTACTTGCCGTCGGGGGAGAACTTGCAGAGCAGGTTGGAGAGCTTGAACACCTCGGAGAAGTTCATGGCCGCCGATCACCCGGACGCTCCGCGCCACAGCGGACCGCAACCGCAGCCGCGGGCCTCCGCGGCCGGAAATCACCAAAAGCGGAAGCCAGCGCAGCCTATCAGCGCCTCGCGGGGCCGCGCAGCTTTGTGGGGCTTGTAGTTCTTCCGCCGCGCCGTCTCGCTTTAAAGGAACAGCCGCGTTTCTTCCGACGCGGGATTTCTAGACGGTGCCCCAGGGGTAGGAGGCCTCGGGGTCCCCTCCAGTTGGAGCTGCAAATAAAATGCACAGTTAAATTTAAACTTCGGATAAGCAACAAATCTGTTACTTAAATATAGTATAAATACGTTCCCAAATACTGTACGGAGAAGCAACAAATAGTTTTGTAGTCTAAGTATGTTTCCAAATATTGTACGGGGCATAATGATACGGAAAAATTTCTGCCCAATCCGAAATTCACGTTTAATTTGGCGACCTGTGTGCGCGCGCGCTCATATTTATATATGTACAAGTACATAATATATTTATATGTTTATGTGTACATTTAACATATAATACGGTATCTATTACATATATTACACCATATATAATGTATAAAATATTTGCTTCATTTCCTTGTTTTTGCTAAGTCGGGCAACACTATCCGCCGCAGACTCAAATCTGGCTCAAGCCCCACTTAGATCCCGGCCGGAACGAATCTGACGCTGGCTGCACAGATCCAGCGCGTGGGGTGCGCGCCCCCGCCTTCCCGGCCGGAGGGTATCCCCCGGGCTTGCACCCGCGAGCTGTCGCAGGGCGCCGCGGGGGCCCAGCAGGCACCGGGAGGAGCGGGCACCTGCCGCGCGCTCGGGCCTGCAAGACCTCGCTCCTCTCCAGGTGTGTGCCGTATCCCCTCGCCCACTCTTCCCCGAGGGTGGCCTCCTCCACTCTCTCCCCCACGCAGGCCGTTAGATGTCCGCGGCAGGCTCCGCCAGCGCCTCTGCAGCCCACCAAATCTCGCAGACCCTGCTACCCTGGTCCAGTTCTGCGTTCTGGGAGCTTAAGATCGGGCCTGGGTCCTGCTCCCACATCCCACTCACGGGCCGGACCTGCTCCCCACTGACGCCCCCAACCTCTCCAAAGAACTGATATGGATGTGCGCGCGCATCCTGCTCAGGCGGTGCTGCCTTTTTCTGTCCCCAGTTAGACCCAAATCCTGAGTGGGATTCGTCTTTGTGCCCCCATTTTCGCGTCTGGCAAACAATGGGTGAGGAATAAAGATGTATGTAAATCAACCAGGCGCTTCAGGTCAGGTGCGGACCAGGTTCTCTTGCTCGCTCGCGAGGCCACGGACAGTACTAACGCCATCTTCCAAGGCGCAGGTGTCAACATGGGCAGGGGGCATCGATTCAAAGCTAGATAACGGGTCAACAAGTATCAGACGGCTGTGCACGGTAGGGTGCCAGGCTTCTAGAGCGGGTCGGAACTCGCCCTGCGTTCGGGGATGAGGGCCCCAGAGGCCCCGCCTGGCCTACGGAGGAGCCGGCGCTCAGAGCGGCAGATGTAGCGGGCCAGAATAGATCTGTGCTGTGCTCTCAAGAGCAATTCCCGGTGCCTGGACCCCGAGCGCACCTTCGCAAACACCTAACAGAATCCCGCGCCCGCAGCCTGGAGGTGATCGGCAGAGGAGGGAGCAGGATGCGGGCAGCAGCCTTGAGTTCTCGAGTGCCCGACTTACTCCCTGAAGACTGCAGGGCACAGCCTCTGGCTAGGGTCTTTAGAGTAGCACCTCCAGGGTCTCGGCAAGATCCTCTTTGCCCGATGGGACCAGGGGTCGGCTGAGACCAGGGTTCGCGGACGGAGTGAGTGGCGAGCACTCCTGGGTGGCCGCCAGCGGCTCCCCTCCTCCTAGGCCCTGGGGCCGCATCCCTCACCAGTTTCCCGCAGGCCACAGCCAGAGCGCACGGCGCGGCACTCCTCCCTCCGCCTTGGATCCCAAAGGAGCGCCCTCCTGGAGGGGCTCCGCGCCAATGTGGGGGCCAGCAGAGCGCAGGGTCTGGGAGACCCGGCGTCTGGGTAGAGGAGGGAGCCCGAGGAAACGAAGGCGTCGGGGCACGGAGTGTCTGACTCCGGCTCCCGCGCGCCTGTGTCCACACAGGTCCCCACACCTGCGGACCATCGCCATCCGGTCTTGCCAACGGGAGGGCCCCGCCGCCCCGCCCGCGTCCAGCCCTGCGTAGGCGACCTCGCTGGGACTCGGCCCCGGCGACGCGCGCCAAACAGCGGCGGGAAGGAGGCGGGGCGGGCGCGTCCGGGACCCCGACTCGGAAGCGGCCAGCTGGGGGGGCGGAGCGCCGAGGAGACCTTGGCCCGGGCCCGGCCCCGCCGCCTTCCCTCCTCCCGCCGCGGCCGAGCGGCCCGCGCTGCCTTCCCGCCCGCCCGACTGGAAAGGCGCTAACGCCCGCGGCCGCCTCCCTCCCCGCGGCGCCTCCCCTCCCCTCGCCCATATAACCCGCCTCGGGGCGGCCCGCCCTGCCTCCCGCCCGCGGCCGCCCGTCTGCACCCGCCTCTGGGTGCCCGGGAGTGCCGGCGCCTGCCGTGCGCCCGAGAAGGGAGTCCGTGGTGAAGCCGGGGCCACGCCTGACGGCACCAGGTAGGCAGCGCAGAAACCGCGCGAAGGAGCCGGGGCGCGGTTCGGCGGGGCTCGTGGGGGCCGGAGCTCTGGGTGACTGGCGCCCGGGCTCGGGCTCCGAAGCAGAGTTGAGCGGGGTTCAGGAGCAGATTGGGCATGAAGTGGGAAAGGGGGATTCCCTCGGAGTTCGATTGCCCCTGGGACCTGGCGCGAGGGCCAGGGAGCCGCTGAAGGCGAGGCCAAGAGAAGACGCGGAGTCCTGCCGTCTATCCGTGCCGGCAGCCCTTGGTGCCAAGAGCAGCCTCGCGGGGGTCCCAAGAGGGCCTTCCACCTGCTAGCCCCTGTCCACGTCGGTTTCCGAGGGGCACTTTGGGTGTCGGTCGTGTCAGGGTGCGGGTGCGGAGGGAAGTAGCCGATAAGCTCCGCCCCGCGCCCACTCCCCGAGCACCCAGGAGGCCCTCACCCATCTGAGGCTTTAGTTCACTCCGACGCTTCACGAGGTTGAGGGAGACTCACGTCCTCCCGTGGACCGGAAAACCAACCAGGCAGGGGCCTTGACCGCTGAGCTGGACCCCTGGAGTCAAGTTTCTAAGTAGATTGGAACAGTTTCCTATGGCTCTGAGGCTCTAGGCGCCTGGCCTGTCTCTGAGTCTATTCCAGGGAGAGGACATAGAAGCGGGTGGAATCGGGCCCTGGGTTGCTCCGGGACTGCCTCTCCTGTCGCTCCTCATCCTGCAGCCAGTTCCTGTAAGCTTTTTGGGCCCGGAGGAGCTATTACTGCCTTCTAACTCAGCTTACACCCAGTGTACCTATGTCTAGATGCGTGCCTGGCAGACCGTCCCCTGCTAGCAAGCAGGGGTGGCCTCAAAGCCACATGTGGCCCTCCAGATCCCCAAGTGCACTCCTCCACTGAACACGAACTTCCCAGTACAAATCCCTTTATTAAAAGGTTCCGTTCTGGGCTGCGCCTGTAACTCAGTGAATATGGCGCTGGCCCCATATACTGAGGGTGGTGGATTCAAACCCGTCCCCAACCAAACTGCAACAACAAGAAAAATAGCCAGGCATCGTGGCGGGTGCCTGTAGTCCCAGCTACTCGGGAGGCTGAGGCAAGAGGATCGCCTAAGTGCCGAGGGCGGCAAAGTGAGGAGACTGTCTCTAAAAAAAAAAAAAACTAAAAAAAAAAAAAATCCGTTCTGCACAAATTGGAATTAGTCCAAAGGCCCCACCCAGGGATCCAGAAGGTGGCCTTGCTGAGGGGATCCCTGACTACTGACCTGTGGTCAGTTGTCTCCAGATGTGCTGCCGTCTACTGAATTACTGCTGGGCAGTTGGGAGCTGTTTGGGATCATTTGCTCAGTGTTTTGCTTTTTGTTGTGGGGGTTTTTGTTGCATTTATTTGGTTAGCCTTAATAATTAGCTTTGAGGGGAAGTCAGTAACCAATTTGATGAAAATATTTCAAATTGTATATGAAAACACTACACTGTACCCCATGTTTGCATTAATGTACACGGCTATCATTTAATTAAAAAAAAAAAGAGGGAAAGTGAGTAAAGGGACGCTAAATGCTAGGCCCCCTCTGATGTTTACTGAAAGGTGAGCCACTGCTCTTTTGATTGACTCAGTAAAAGATTTAAAAAGCATTGCATTGAGATCAGAAGGATAGAATGTTCAAAATTTTTCAACATACGAATTTAGGGCTTATGTGTGTAAATCTAAAAATAAGATTAAAAGTTGGGCACTAGAAGCTGCAGGCAGGGGCTACCTGAGGAGAGCTGATGGTGGGCCTGGGTGGAGGCTGGCCCAGCAGCATGGACACCTGTAGAGTGACCAAGGATGCTTAGCCCCACCTTTTGGCCATTCTGGTGAAGGCTACCTGGAACGGCCCCAAATTTTGAAGGGCAGCCCCGTGGCAGAGCCAGGTGTGGAAGTGAGAATGCTGGGGTTCCTTTCCACTTACTAGGCACAGACCGCTATCCAGCCCCTTGACCAGTGGAGCCTCAGTTTACCCACCTGCAAAGTAGAGCAGTCACAGTTCCTGCCTCAGAAGGTTGGGAGGACAGTCAATGGGATGCCCTAGTAAGCAAGAGTGCCTGGCACACGCTCGGTGGCCCCAAACTCCATGGCTGCTGGTCTGAGGTGCTCCCCCACAGCTGGGAGAGACAGTAGCCCACAAATCTCCCCAGGCAGGGGGAGGGATGGCAGTAAGGCAGGAATCTGCCCTGTGCTCGGGTGGAGGCTGATGGCACCTGCCAGGGGTATTACTGTGGCTAGGATGCCTTGGTTTGAAATGTATTTATAGAGCATGCCCCACCCAAGTCTAAGAATGGGTTTATAGCACTGAGCACATGCAAGGTAAAATATAGACAAAGAGGGGAGAGTGAGGACTGAGAGGGAACTGAGAAAAACACACTCCACACCGGAGGAGGGCTGTGCCCCACAGCAGTGTTGACCGTAGAAAGAGACGTTACACACT